CCCCAAAACCCCAAAACCCCAAAACCCCACTATATCAAAATAACTTTTTTTGTATTACTAAATTATAGAGAAACTTATAAAATGAAATCATAATTATAGTAAGAGAAGCCTAGACAATCTTATATTAATCTAGGAACACCTAATCCAGCACTTATTAAGTTTTATAACCCTGTGAATACCAAATAAAGCTAAGATTCATAGTAAATAGTCATCCAAAATCACCCTGCTAGGTTGATTAAGCCATAGGTAAGTCATGATATTTAAGATCGCAAAATTTAAACGATAATTTATAGAAAAGTAGGAACAGTAACATAAGATTATCCAGCAACAGTCTCAGAAGAACTACATCTGGAGCTGATTATTAGAGCAAGGCCATAGAGATTCAAAGAACTGTCAGTTAGAATGAAAAAGACTTCCAATTGCTGTAACATCATGACAGGATAAACTCATTTAATATGAATGGGTTTAGATCTGCTAGAGAGAAATAGCCTATATAAATTCCTAAATTAATGATAGCCCAAAACTCCTAAATCTAACAAAATGACATCAATAACAGCGGACTACCTTTCTCTAATGTAGTCATGAATTCTTTATCTAATCTTGTGTCATAAAATAACTAATAGCTACAATAGTACAAAAGATATAGAGCAGAAAAGAGCAGTAATTTAATGCAGATAAGTAGACAAGATTAGCATTAATCCCCTCAAACTGACGGAAAATCTAGCAGTATAAATAACAATAAATCTAATATTTCACTGAGGCATTAATAGCAATAGCAGTAATAATAAAATCTGAAGAACATGTAAAGAAAAAGCAGTAATTCAAAGTAGATTTCATCTCGAGCTGTTAGTTCGCTAGTTGATTCCAAAAGAAATTCATAATCTTATTCTGTCGAAAATTTAGAAGACAATGGTAATTAAGGATTAAGTCAAAGAGATGTAATTGTTAGGAAAAGTAATAATAAAAGTTAGTTACACACTCTAGCAAATTAGCATAGCAGTATTAATGGAGTAGTAATATAAAGTTAAAATTCACTGGAACCCCATAAAAATATTATTTAATTGACATCCAATAATATTAACTAGAAAGCAAGTATTCCTAGATCTAATGGAATCTCTAATCATCGAAGTTAATTTCGGAATAGTTCAAAAGTAAAAAGATAACTTCGAAGCTAATCTTAAAATCAAGAAGATTACCAATTTAAGCAGATTTAACTTTCAACTTAGCAGCATCATTAGTAATAATAATAAATCTAGGAAGCAAAATAATCTATTGTAGCGTAAAGACCTTAGACAGCAACAAATACCAGGACTAAATCTAGGCATCATCAAAAACTTAGTTCTAGATCTTAAGAGTAAAAGATAGTCATTCCGTTAAAGAAAAAATAATTACTGCCCTTCTAGCCTGTATAGATAGTTCAAACTTAGCCTGAAATAATTTAAATTGATCAAAATGATTTGAACTTTTTGAAAAGGTTAAATCATCAATCTTAGGGCTCGATACATAAAAAAACATAATAATAAGAGCTAATTTAATAGCAAGCACTGTCTCAATATATACAGCAATAGAACCAAGAGAGTTAAGCAATAAATAGCTAAAGGTCTAATGGTCATTAACATGTTGATGTTAACTCTTAGACATATTAGCCATAAATTCAAAGATCTTAGTAGCAGAAATAATAATAAGAAGATCAAATAGAGGGGTAAAGATTAAATTTCTGCCAAAGCAAACCCATGAATAAATCAAACAACAACTAAAGAGTAAATAATTAATAGAATGATATTAATAGAAAATTGCAAATTCCTTCAGTAAACAACCTCTAGACTATTGAGTAGATTTACTCTAATAATTTAAGTTCATCCAATATGCAATCGATTCAACATTAAATACCTAGCTAAAGGATTCTTCACGTTAGTTAAAAGCGAATCTAGTCTTCTGCGAATAATCAAGTAAATAATAATTCTAATGTCATTCGAAACGAATATTAACAAAACTAAAACAATTTTGAATAACAAGAACTGGCTAATTAATATGCTACAATTGATCATAGTCAAGTATAATATAGATATCCAAGTAATCAAAGAAATTAAAATCAAAGTGATAATAGATCAACGTCAATGGTCTCAGGTAGGTCTTCAGAGACACCGGGAAGAGGTTTTAATTAAAATATAAATTCCCTAGTGAAAAAGTAATTCAAAGAAGATTCATAGTAATTTTCTATTGTCAGTATTAGCAATGTTAACTCAACAGATTAAAAGCCAAAAGTTGATATATCTAGCACTGGTGGGTCCAATAGTTAATTTCTAAGCAAGTTGAGATTTAAAAAAGTTTAAGGAAGAAATTTGAATGAATAATTTTCATTACAGTATATTTCAGCCAATTAAAGCTCTGTAGGAGCGGCTGTAGGAAAAAATTAATATGTTAATTAAGGCATGACTAATAGTAGCAATTAGTCATAAAATTCATATATTAACAGCAAAAGATAATAAATATAAAGCAGTAATACCAACAATGAAGATGGGAATAATAGTAAAAATTTGTTTAACACTCAGGACTAAGATATTTAGATTTTAAAAAATTCAAAGCTTTTTAACCAACAGAACATTGGAATATCCAGAAACATTAACAATAGAATACTAGCGTCATCATCTTCTAATTCTTAATAAACTTATCCCAATATATCATAATCTCCTGCTTATAGAAGTGGATAGTCTGTATCTGGAGGGTCAATTATCTAAAAGATAAATTTTGCTGAATAGCAGGTTCAAGAAAATGAGAAGATATTTCAAGAGCAGTCATTCTCATTCAAATCTAGTTAGTAGCAGCAACAAGATGCACCAAAATAACTCTCTAGATAAAAATCTGGTCAGTTTTATAATTAAATACATCTCAAACAAGATTCTAAAGCTTAAGCAAATATCTATTCATCAAGAAATGAGAAATTGCAAAAAAATTATTTTTCAACTTAACAGGATCATAAAAATAGAGACATTTAAAATAGTAACTCTAATAAAAACTACTTTAACCAAAGAGGTAATTCTCATGCAATAATTTAAGACTATGAAATGGTAAATGATTAGGAAGAGTAATAAAGTTCATCTGATCAAAATTAAATGATAACTCAGGAATAATATGAATAACAAAAACTTCTAATCTTATAATAGCTGCATTAAAACTAGATGGAATCAATTCCAAGAACTAAAACATAGAGCATAGATTTGTCATATATTGAGAAGTCAACTCCCTACTTAAGAGATATCACTCTTTCTGAGACTTATATAGCGAAAGTAGGTGAGACCACGAATGAAGATTTCAAGGATATTTTGACAATGATAAATGATAATAACAAATGAGATGAAAATAGAAAGTCAGTATTGCAAGAGTATTATCAAAGAGTTATGCTAGTCAAATAGCTTTATGAGTACTAATTATGTTTTAAATTGAGATTTATTCTTTTAATATGTAACCATTAAAACATTCTTTAAATAATTTGAAGGGGTTTTGGGGTTTTGGGG